AAATTAGATTTTTCTTAAAAACTGAAATTTTGCCGGGAATGGGGCTTTAAGATATTTAAAAATAAAATGAGTTAATATTAGATATAACATACCACTTTAAAAATAACATTTTTATTTTGAATCCTTGCTTTTCTTGATCTGTCATCACCATATTCTTTGCATCATTTGATTTGACAATGATGATGATGATGATGAAAAATTGTGAAACCTTACAAAGATCTTAATAATTACAGTATTCTGTAAATTCTTTGCTTCCAACAAACAGGATACGATAATTATTAAGTCAAACTTGCATGACGTAAATAATCATTTTTCGATTCCAATTTATTTTTATTATCTTTAACAATTTTTTCATAATTATTATTAGTTCTTTGAATTGAGGATACAATGAATCAATAATCACTACCATTAAATATAATTCTTTGTTTTTCGGATTTTGAAAAAATAATAGACTATTTCCGGTTCATCAATGGCTTTTGCTAATTAATCCATATTGTCCTCCGTGATGTCCTGAGTTAGATTCTCCAAAATATTTATACTTTTTAAAGCCCATCGAATAAAACTCTATTCATACTGTCAGAATGTATATGACAAATAAATGCCAATATTTTGATGGAATATGACAACATCGTGCCCATATATAGACACATCACATAGATTTGTCACAATTTGATAGTTTTAGACAGATTGTAATAATATTCTGAGTGGTTTTTATATTTTTTTTTCTTTTCTGAAGGATGATGCTCGACAGTTGTTCGCTCTTGCTGGGCAAGCCGAGGAAGGAGAACTCAGTCCCGAGTTATCAGCCACAATGAAACGTTTATGGGCAGATCCCGGGGTCACGGAGTGCTTCAGTCGGTCTCGAGAATACCAACTCAACGACTCCGCTCCTTAGTAAGTATAACACCAGCAACGCAGGAGTTAAGTTTATTGTAGAGATGATTGTTTTATGTCAATCCTAGTGTGTCGTTTCATTCATTTATTTATTTAACAATTATTAATGTAAGTACATGAAATCATGTTCTATATACATGGATGAACAGAGAGGTGGAAAAAGTTGACTTTTGCTAACCAGGCCTAGTACTAATATATCATTAAAAAAAATTTAATATAATTTACTGAATTTAAGTATACTAATTAGATAGTTCAACACTATAGCTGTAAATATAATTAGTTTTGTGATTTTTCTGAATGTAATGGTATAGGCTTATTTTCCATAGTTATTCCTACAGTTTCATATATTGTAATTAAAAATTGTCCAAATGTGGGTTTTTTAAGCCTTTGGTTGATATTATTATGAAGTCTACTGTGTTTGTCTGGTTTCACCATTTGGCAACCTTATGTTTATTTCTTTGTATTGGTTTATAAAGCGGAATGTGTAAATTATAGACAATCTGTATTCTGCTTACTCATGAATATTAATTTAAAATCACTTCTATGAAAGGGACTAAATTATAAAGTATTAATTTTAATCTTCATCAGGAATTTAAATTGTTTCTGCAGAATAGATACATTGAAATGTTTTAAAAGCATTTGGTATTTAAACAACAGATAAAAATAAAATTTTAGTGTATTTTTAGGTTAAGTTCTACATTTTCTCTCATAAACACCCCTTGAAAAATAGTGGAACAGTCAGTCCCTAATCATGGAATAAAACATTTCAAAACAGAAATGTTTCATTTTTAATAATATTAAGCTATGTACAGTCGCCTTGTTGCTTTTTAAAGTATTTGATATATAAATATATGCAAATAACATTGTTGAAAAATGTTGTATAGATGCCAAAATCACTGTGCCAAAAGTAACATGCACTTTTGTAACATGACCCAGTGGTCATTTTTCATGTGACCCCATAGTTCACACTCACTGATGTCTGCAAACTACCAGCTGTCACCCCAACTGAGATAACACTGTTTTCCCAATTCAATAAGGAAGAATGATTTTTGTATACTTAAAGATTAGCATTCATAACTGTAGGGTATAACCAACAACTTTCTATTTTTGCATGTCAATGTCATAGTCTCCTCGATTTACTTTTTGCTATTCTTCTTCCATAATAAATATATTCTACAGCGTCAGCCAACCTCTTTAATTATATTCAACATATTTTTTTTTTCTGCTGTAGCATGGTGGTTGAGACGATTGCCTCCCAATCTAAAGATGTTAGTTAAAATCCTACGCAGCTGTCCAATGGCAAAACGATGTAAACTGCTATTATATTTTTGTGCAGCTACGTTGTTTGTTTTGCTTTGGAATTGCTGTATTGCAATCCAATTGATTTGTCTTTATCATGACTAAAATAATGCTACAAGCTCTTATAATAAAATTTTGTTCAGGCTAACTAAAATAAATGGCTAGTTTCATATCTCACCCTCAATTTTGGAGTCTTATGAAAAATTTACTTTATTCAAATCAAATTAAATCAAATCATCATTTATTTCTTTCACAATATAACAATAAAAAAAAATATATATAATTATTAACAAATATCTAAGGTATTTTATGTATACACTATTTTTCAAACAAAAAAAATATTTCTATGGAAAATAGGAAAGCTTAAGAAGAGGTGGAAACAAAATGCAGAATACATTATAAAGATTTATTTTAATCCTTTTCTAAAAATAATTTTTATTATGGCATTTACCAACCGGTTTGACCACTAGTTTAATAAGGTAGTAAACAGACTGTCTGTCGTAATTGGTGTTTACTTTGTGCGCTATGTAGTCTTACAGTGTCAAGTTTTATGCAAAATCATCCAAATTATAATTATACATTAGGCCAGGTTGGAAAAAATGTAGTTTCTCATCCTAAATATATTTTTTTAAAAGGGAATGAGGGTTAATTTTTTTTTTTCTCTGAGATGGCAAATTCAAGATGGCCGATGTGAAATAGCTACTGCTTTTCTCTCTTTTTACCAAGTAGACACATTGAAAGCAAATAAAAGAAGCATTATACATGATTTGTACCATATATTGAGTATTGATTCATAATAGTTCAACTGAAATTCTCCCCAGGTATTGCTTGAGCATCTTCCCAACCACAAACAATCGAGAGAGGAATTTTTATAATGCGAATCAGTCAGATTTTTGTACATTTTGTAAAATAAAGGAAATTAAAAACAAAAAAAATTGTGAGGCAGAGAAAATGGTTGCATAAGGGGAAGATAAAAACTAGTAAAAAAATTTTTATTTGGCCTTATGTAGAATCAAAATTTTATTTGCTGGGCCTCTCGGGCAGTAAAACATGTCATAAATCCCTAAAGTGATAGTAATATTGGAATGTCTAAAAGATTGAAAAATGTTGAGTTTCTATTGTTGATTGTCAATCGCTAATGCTTACAATGAAATCCAATCTTTCGGTGTGTAGAATTGGTTTTAAATAGGTTTTCCTGGATTGTTAACAATAACAACTTTTAGGAAAAGAAATATTAACTGTTTAGGAATTTAGCATAACTTTCAAGTTATTTAAAAATGTCAGAAGGAAGTGAATTATGAAAAATATGATCAATGGTAGATCTAGTCTATTAACAAAGAATAATAATACAAATAATAGGGGTTTTTTGGCTTTTTGAATTACTAAAGTAACCATCCTAGGGGGTCTGGTGAAATTCGTTTTCTAGACGCCCAAAAATAACCTCTGAGGCGTTTTAGGCGATCAATTTTTTTCTTTTTCTTTCTTTGTTTCTTTCTTTCTTTCCAAAAAGGGCAGGCATCTGGATTGAAATTCTCAGCAGCACAATTAATTGGCTTTCATGAACATATATCCATATTGAATTAATTAGAGTGTTCACATCTAAAAGATTCATAAGCAAAATATAAACCAAACTTTAAATTCATCAATTGGATTTTGCACTAGATTTATTTGATGATTGTTGTATAGTTAGTATTGCTTATAAATGCATGGACATGCGTCATTATTATCTTCCTTCATCCATCTCACAACAATTATCTTTACATTGCACAAGACAGTCGAACTCTCTCAGGTTACCTGTTCCTTGAATGCTACATGTTTGCCGCTCCGAAATTATGGAATTTTCTTCCACATAAGCTTAGATCAACTTCTTACACTGATGCATTCAAGACCCTTCTTAAAACCTATCTCTTTAATCAATAATTTTTCAGGGATGTAGTAATGATGGGCAGGGCCATCCAGCCTTGAAGTTTTCCACCCACCCATGTCACTTTTCCATCTTTAAAATCCACTCTTATTATTTAGAGTTTACCAATGTTATCACCCACCCACCCAGCCTTAAAATGTCTATAACCCACCCTTCAGTTTTCTACAGCTACAACCCTGATTTTTGTATCTTTAAGCGCCAGTGACAAATTATATTTCCTAACAGGCGCTATACAAAGTGTTCTAATTTATTATTATTTTTTTTATCAATATTATTGCTGTTGTTTTGATGTTGCCATGTCATTAAGCATCTTCTTCCTTTTCATCTATTTAGCCTTGGTTGTCATTCTGTTTGTACAGTGCTTGCTTATCATAATTGCCTTTGCCAATTACTAGCACTGGGTGGAGCTGTAATTCTATGTTTATTCAAACAGCAGTCACATACTTAAATTGCCATGATATAAGAAGAATTGCGGATGAAAAGGTCTCTTACATTCACTAAAATTTTGGAGTTCAGCGTTGCAGTCATCAGGCGTCTACATGCTTATTTATTTTTTAATGTTTGTATTTTCTAAGTGGAAATTAATATCAAGTTTGATACTGAATAATAGTAGAGCATTTACCTTATTTCATTGTTGTTAAAAATAAAAAATTGGGAAATCCCCAGAAATATGACCTTGATTTTTTTAATGCTTTTTTTTCCCCAATTCATTCAGCGTACTTCCTTCTAAGTTTGATTTGTTTTTCCTCACATCATGTCAGTAGTGGTACCAAGAGGAGTGGACATGTCCCTTATAGGAACGTATGTGGGCAGGGCCAGGGACCACATCAAAGGAGATCCAAGAAGCTCACATAGGCTTTTATCTAACTCATTGAATTTCATGATGGTCTCCATCTCTCCTGTGACAGGGGTCATAGTTTCCCTCCCCCATCTCAACTGTGGCCATCACTACATCATGTCTTGCTACAATCAACCTCTCTGTTTAAAAATTAGCTTAATAGTACCAGTAGACATACTATATAATAAATAATTCTGGATTTATATAGCGCCTCACGTTGACACAACCTCGAGGCGCTTAACAACAACAAAGAAGAAAAAAAACCAAAACAAATGCAAATGTACCAAAAAATAAAAAATTATTATCAAATATTTGGTTTTAGTTTAGTTTAACATACAATTGCGCTTTCAACTGGGACGAAACGAACATGGTTTCAAAGGTTTTTAATATATTGACAGTATGGACTTATTAATCATGAAAGGACAAGATGAAACTTTGTGCCAGAAATTGTCATTACTCTGTAATACATTCAATAGCAATGTTCAGCTGAACATTATGAACCTTTCCGCTAATCCCCATGCCTTGGATATTGTTTCTAAAGTCTCATAAACAATTGCGTAAATGTACGCAAACATGTGCATTTGTGGACATTACATGTGTTTTATTTGGGACACACACATTCCTGGCTAGCACTGTTCTAATTCGTAAATTTGACTGATACACCGTAAAGTTCTCTTATGAGACCAACTGGAGACTAGTCTTTAGTATTGTATTTTAATCTGGATGTAAAGATGGATGCATAAATGATAAATTTTAAGATAGATAATGAAATATAGATAATGAAATATCCTGACTTACGGAGTACTCTGAGTATCAAAGTAGATGTGATGTTACTGCACATGTCTCTCTCTAATTAAAAACCTCTCCAATGAAAGACCACCTCCAATTAAAGAACATTTGTGGTCCCAAATTAAGAATAGTCTTTTATCTTTATTATTCTAGTTAGAGACCACATCTGCTGAAGTCCATGGTATTGGTAATCTCAGTCCCAAAAAGTGATCTTTGATTGGAGGGACACCTGTATTTGTTTGGCTCATCAATAATTCATCCATTTATGAGCTCTCCATGTAGCAAGTTGCTGTCTTCTTTCGGATGGCAGACACATTTTCTTAATATATTTTCCATTTTGTTTACAGTTATTTGAATGCACTTGATAGACTCTCAGCACCAGGCTACATCCCGACACAGCAGGATGTCTTGAGGACGAGGGTGAAGACGACTGGAATCGTGGAGACACATTTTACATTTAAAGATTTACACTTCAAGTAAGTCACAAAATGTTTCCACATTTCAAAATATAATTTGTGCTATGTGTTACTAGGTATTTATATAGCACCTTTACTTTAGGTTGCGAAGTGCTTTGTTCCTGGAAGCTGGGTCATTGGGTCCAGCTGCTTAAGTGTTGCCGCCATATTGGCACAGACTAGCGGGCAACCCACCAGGTATCAATTTCTACTCCTACTAGGTGGAAAGTTAAGCAGTGTAGAGAAAGTGCCTTGTTAAAGGACGCAAGCGAAGTGCACAGCAAGGGATTGAATCCCCGAACTCGAGGTTGGGAAACCAAACCAAAAGTAGTAGCCCTAACGTTACTTACTACACGCATTTAAAGACCACCTTTTGGGTATAGGCCTAAGCCGACTTCCTATAAACCCATTTTCACATCAAATATCGACCCACCTTTTGGGATAATCTGGCCTTTAGGTATCAGCTCACATTAGAGTAATAATCCCACGTCAGGTGTAAGCCTACTTTCAAGTAAAAACTTATCCTTCAAACTTAATCGAGATCGGGGGTTCCAATCCCTGGATGTACATTTCACTTGTCCTTTAGCAAGGCACTTTCTCTACATCGTTGAACTCTACACCCAGGAGTAGAAATTGGTACCAGGTTGGGTTGCCTGGTCTTTTGCCGATTATAGCTGCAACACTTAATCATGTTTACCCAAAAACCAGGGACAAATGAGTTCCTTATCTGAAAAGAATGGTGCTATATAAATTTAAATAAATAATAATAATAAATAATAAAAATAATAATAAATAATAATAATAAATAATAAAAATAATAATAATAGTTAATAGAATATTTTTTATTGATTGTTTAAGTCATTTCTACATTTTCTAGTCTGCCAATGATTCAAACCATGTGTAACTTTGTAGAATGAAATTGAGGCATTATTTCCAATATATTAAGCAGAAAGATAATTTCCTATTCGATGACTGTGACTGGAAACAGGTGAATGATAGGAAACTGAGTGTTCATATCGATGCCTGATGATATTGCCTTACCAGATGTATCATCAATCTAGCATTGTCATGGTTGATAATATAGTTCTTTTTAGAAACCGAACAAGCACAGATAAAAAAAAATGTATTACTCTCATTTGATTAGACAGATTATTAGGCAATTCCCAATTTCTCTTCTTTTATAATAAGACAGGCTCTCTCCATTCGCCCCCTTTCTTCCTCCTACAGGCTCTTTCCATTCGCCCCCTTCCTTCCTCCTTATTCCTCTCTCTTTCTGTACAACCTTGGGCCCCCGATTCACCATACATTAAGTGGTGACCAGTGGAAATTGAATAATTCCATAGTTATCAATCATGATGATGATAATAATGTTTGTTAGTTTGTAAACACCGCATATACTCTGAAACACATGCTTAAGGCGGTTAACATATAGATGAATTGTCAGTGGTTTTGAATCGCTTAAAGTTGCAACAAAGCAAGATATATTGCGTTCGTCAGTAGACGTGTTCATCAATTAATGCTGAACAAATAACAAGTTGAAATGAAATACATGTGTACGTGCATGTAGGTGCATTGTTTACCATTAGTGTTAATAGAATATGGAGGAAAAAACCATTGAACACAAAACTTTAGCATTTAAGGCCAAATAACAAAATAAAACAAAAATGTGTTGTTAACCACAGTGACATTTGAAGGTCAGTGGCAGTCAATGAGGATTTTTATTTTTCATCATCAAGGATGTTGAAATCAAAGCAAAAAAGAAAAAAGAAACTCTGATGTTTACATACATTAGATGTATGATTTCTGCAAGACATTTGGCTTGTAAAGAAAAGTAAATAAAACGACAGGCCAAGAAATGCAAAAAAGAAACATTGATGTTTGGCCTATTTTCTTATTTTTCATCATCTGTTTAAGGATATTGAAATCAGACCCAAAAAAAATGGCCACACTGATGTTTACATACATTGGATTTACAATGTCTGCGCTTTGCCTTGTAGGAAATTTTTTAAAAGGACAGGCTAAAGAATTATTGAGAGAACAAGAAACATTGTTTGAGCAAGACTTTATTCCTTGCTTTGCGTACTTATTTTTTTTAAAGATTATCGAGGAAGGGCAGAATGAAAATAAAAATTAAATTTTGTTTTCTTATTTAGCAAATAAGTTTTGCCAAAATCATCCAGACGGAGGAGAAAATAAAAATAAAATTTTATGGAGAATGTAAAATAGCATGGTTAAATGCTTCAAATTTATATAATTAGGAAGAAATATCTTCTCTTTGGCGATTTCATTGCAGCGGACGATGTAATAAGAATAAAGAAAAAGTTTTTTATTTTTTCTGGAATTTCCACTTTTTCGTGACGGTGGGTGCACTAATTGTCCAAAAGTAAAATTTTATTTTTATTTGAAGTCATCAATATTTGCATTCGGTGGGTTCGCTTAAAACATGGTATAAAAAAGTCTTGCCTTGGCCTATTCCAATCTTACACCATGTCCAACAGTACATTATCCCCAAAATATGTTTCCCCATTAAATTTTGTTGAGGTATAAGTGCATCACTACGTCTTCTATGTGGCCTGTCTTTATTGTTGCGTATGAATATCGTGCATGGTAGGTCATGTCCCCCGTAGTAAGACATAATAGAAATCGACCTCAATGACATTAGGGTGATATCGGACCAAACTGGACTTAACATTACCAGTCTACTTTAGAAAGTAAACAAAGTACAACGTAATGTGTGAGTGTGAAAATAGAAATATGTTTTTCTTACTTTGGATCAACAAAAATGGAAAGTCCATGATAATTATGCATAGATACAAATGAATTTATTATAAGAAATTGTTGTTTATGGGTACAAAATGCTGTTAGAAATAATATCATGCTCCCATTGTTTCCAAAGCCTACAGTACTACGAAATATGTTAATGAATTTTGTGGTTTTTCTAAGCAATCAAGATCATTATACACTGTAGTATGTCACTCATTAGCTAATGAATTCCTCCACATTTTTGTAATCAAATTATTTACTAATATATCACTACAGTATATAATGATCTTGATTCCTTAGAAAACTACAACATTCATTAACATATTTTGTGGTACTGTAGGCTTTGGAAACAATGGGAGAATGATATTATTTCTAACAGCATTTTCTACCCATGAACAACTATTTCTTATAATAATTTCATTTGTATCCATGCATAATTATCATGGACTCTCAATGTTTGTTGATCCAAAGTAAGAAAAACATATTTGTACTTTTAATCACACATTACGTTTTACTTTGTTCACTTTCTCTTGAGTAGACTGGTAATGTTAAGTCCAGTTTGGTCTGACATCACCATGAGCCTGTAACTAATTGAACAGAGCGACATTGACAGATTCTGAAGGGAGAGTAAGAAATATCCAATTTTCCCTGTGTTACTTCCTTTTTCCCCTCCCCCTATTCCAACATTATTGTTTCAATCCTAGGGAAGAACTTCAAGCTGTATTTGCTAACTACAGGACTCAAAAACATGGGTACATTAGCAGTGGCTACAGTGTCCAACAGGTGGTCCATCATTCCCTGAGATATTAGCCCCACCCACCTCAGCTGTTCCCATCATGGTTGGAGCTGAGTGGGAAAAATAGTTTCCACCCTTTAAATGCAACAAAATGGCAATCTCAGGCAAGTTGTCTTGGCTTTAGGAAAATTAGTTTTTCTCTGACAGATTTTACAGTGGGTCCTTCGTCTGGGCCAGTTTACCCGAGGACTGGGCCTAGCTTCCTTGGCCCACCTGCAAGTGAGTACCACTCCTGACTATGTGTTACTGTGTAATAATATTATTTTTTATTTATTTATTATAATTGATAATAATTTTGATTTTGATTAATAACATTGTGGCACACCATGCTAGTCAAAATTAATACCGTCACTATTCATTTACATTACAATGTTCTAGTACCATCAAGTGTACTATCTGAGCTTCTCCGATAAAATCAACATACTACATAGCTATTATGTTCTTGGTACACTGCAGCCAATACATTTCACTCGAAAAGTCACTAGTTTGCAAGCTCTTAAATCTCTGCCCGCCAAACACGGAGATCCATGTGTTTGGTTATACGCAACGCTTGACCGCCAAACACGGACATCTCCATGCTTCAGGTTTTTTTACGGAATACGATAAATTGGGTAAATACCAACATGTACTAACAATAACACTATATTCAGTCTGGACCGTAAGTATTTCACAATTTGTTTGTTCACATTAGCGTAGAGCGGTATTTATTTACTTTCACGAAATAGCGATTATCTCAGCTTCGTTGTGCGAAATGGGTAAATCTCCAAAAGAGAGATTTTCATTTTACTGTTACGGGTCACAGATTGTGATTACAATAAAGTATTTGGTACCACTGTAAAGCTATGTTTGTAGTTCCTGTAGTATTCACTACATGTCAATCTGATCACATACGCATTCGCAACAAGCTTTGGAAAAGTGTTAAAATTTGTTAAAAAGTCTGGCGGTGGCTAAAACTATTTCCTCAGAGTTTTACAATGTTTTACAATGTACTATACTATCTGAGCTTCATCCATATAGCAACATGCTATAAAGCTATTCTTTCAGCCAATACTGTACATTTCACTCGAAAAGTCTCTTGTTTGCAAGCTCTACAGTTGTTATAAATTCATGATACATGGAAATTCGAATGGAATTGTAAATAGAACTTGGTGTATCATTCTGCTTCTGAGAAGCTTACTTTAATCTTTGCCTGGAGCTGAATCTCAAGCTATGCTTGACTAATCTCAAGCGACCAAAAATATCATTATAATAATGCAATGTATTCAAGTCTAATTTATCAAACATGGCTTAGATGAGGAAGAAGGATCTTTAAAACTAACGATTCTCTTATGACATCAGCTGTCTTAGTCTATATTGAATAAATATTTGATTTTTAACCTGAGTATATTATTATTGTTAATCATTCACAAATTATATTACAATCTTATTGAGGAAACACACACATATAATAGTGTTATTGGAAACAAAATTTTAGTGATAATTTATTCCATGTCCATACTTATAATTATTACTAATTATTTTTATCTTATAATGATGTGTGGTAATCTAATATATAACTTGCTTTGTTTCATTTTCTTTAGAATTTTTAATAACTTTGAAGAATATCAATAGTCATATTTATATACATTGATAATATTGATATATATTATTATAATATCATGAATAATATTAATAATTGGCATATTTCTAGTATATGTTGGGATTATATTATTAAAGTGTTGCTGACAATAATGATATTGACAATAATAGTAGTATCGTAATATTAATGTTATAAATTGATTATTATAATAATAATAATGATATAAATAATCTTAATAATTTGCATGTTTCTAATATAATATTTGCAGATTATATTAAAATGCTGCTGATAATGATATTGTAGTAATATAATAGTAATAATGTTATAAATTGATAAATTATATAATTATAATATTGATATACGAAGATAGTATAATACATACTCCAAGTATCGAAATGCACGCCCTCGTGTCAGGATTCAATATTTTGACATTCAATATTTCGACATTAATTATGTCATCATGATATACATAATATTAATAATTTGCATTTCTAATAACATTTTTGGGGATTAATTATTAAAGTGCTGCTGATAATAATGATATTGAAAAATATTAATTATCATTATAGTAATAATGTTATAAATGGTAATGATTATATATTGATGTTAATTATATTGACAATGATAATAATATGATATTAATGATAAAGATGATATTAATAATAATTATATATATCAATTGAAGAAAGCATTTATCATAGCCATACATGAGGTAAATACGAATGAATGGTCACAAACGTGAAAACTTGTTTTTCTTCTTTTTAAATGTCTTACAAGCACTTGAATTACATGTTTCTAACAAAATGATAATTTCACAGTCAGACTCACTGATATCAGTTGCCTTTCCTATATAATTAAGATCCTCTGTACTGGCCACTGTAGAAAAATTTGAATCTGTTCTGGAATAGTAGAGAGTGCCCTGTCTTATTCTTTTGAGAGCTTTGGTTCAGTCTCTGTTGTTGGTAAATATATTCAGAAATTTGTATAAAAATAATTAGTTTTTCCTTTGCATACTATCAAATTTTATTAGACAAAAATAAGTACGACCTAAATATTTTCATGATGACATCACATCATGACCATATAAACACATTATGACTATATATTAGCAATGAAGAGGTTTTTTTTTTAATGGATGGATTAATTAATAGAATATTAATGGGACCGGTGAATATTTAATGATTTTCACTAAGCTTAAGAAAGTATAATACATACTCCAAGTATTGAAATACACGCCATCGTGTTGGGATTCAATATTTCGACATTAATTATGTCATCATCAGGAATGACTAAGCTTTGTATTAGAATTTGAGAATCAAATGGTTGGTCCTCTATTTGGTATAGTAGAAAGTTATGGTATTATGGTTAAAGATTGTTACAAGGTTAAGAGCTTTTTTTCATTCACTATACTGTAGATGTGTATGATTACAAAACTGTAATTTTTAATAATGTTAAAATATTGATTTCTGCCAATCAGTAAGAAATTCCATTATTTTAAGAAATTTAATTTGAAAGATCATTCCATTAAAACCAAAGGGGTAGCAAAAATTAAGGTTATTAAATGGTCATTTTCCCTCTCAGATTATATTTAGTATGATTACCAATCTATAATATTAGATTGAACAGTAGTGTTCATTTATAAATGATAATCTTAAAATATTGATTTTTGGCAATCTGTATAGAATTTCATTATGGAATTTAATTTAAAAGATCATTCCATTAAAGTCATAGGGATAGCAGTCATAACAAAATACATTACTTTACAAATAGCATAAAATTTACAATTTCCGTTCAGCCATTTCATGATGATTTATGTATTATGTTGTTTTCTTTCACAATTTATACTCGCAGGCAATTTTCTTCTAATTATGATATAAAAGTATGATTTTTTTTAAAGCAAATCAACAACAATTTTATTCTAGAACATCTAATATAAATTTATCAAGAGGAACACAATAATTATGAAATGCTAATGACATGGATGGTCCTATCATTTTTTGTATTCACTGCCTAACGCATGGATACGATTGATAATTTGTGAATAATAAATAATACAATTTTGATAACTCATTGTGATAGTGGTATTGAGAAAACAGGTGAAAAACGAGAGGAAATTGAAAACATTTTGTATGTATCGCCAAAAAAAAAACTACTTGAATGATGCCTATGATAACGATCGTGCCTGCTATTGGTCGAATGCATCACATGATCTCCTTTTCATATCTGATACATCCTTTGAGTGTGTATACAACAACCATGTTATCAAATATTGGACATAGTAAAATCTCCATACTCATAATGTTAACTACTTGATGATGAAAATTCAGGTGCATAGAGATCTTAGTATTTTCACTGAACTTTGATGCTCAAGGGAAACAGCCCAAAATATGAAATGAGCTGAATCAAGTGGTTTAAATATTTAATCCTCAAGGTTTTCTTTGAATATAAGATAAGATAAACTTTATTGTCATTCCAAACAAGTGAACTATGACATTACAAATAGAAAAAATTTATTAACTACTAAGATATCAGTAAATACATAAAATACTTTTAAGATTATTTATACGAATAATTTCAAAGTCGATCTTATTTTACATGGCAAAATGATGAGTACGATCTGTAGGTCAAATTTTATCGAAGTCAAATAATTTTTCAATGTTATTTTGGATTTTTAATATAATTTTTTTGTCTGGACAGTAATGGCTTTGTTTTTAGTTATGCTTCCAAAGTTTTTGTTTAGTTGAGAAAAGACTTGAATTTTATTTAGGAACACTTTTGTTAATATTTGAAGATTGTTTTTTAATTATTTTATTCATGAGACAATGCCTATTGTAAAAGGTTTATAAACAATATGAAATATTGAAATAAATATTGTACATTAAGTTGGCAGAGTTTTTGTGTTTCTATAATAATTTCCCTATTCTGTCAGGTAATACTTCAATTTTTACAATGGTTTCAACATATTTTTTATATCTTTCGCAGAATGTTTGATGTCGGAGGTCAACGGTCAGAGCGAAAGAAATGGATCCACTGTTTTGAAGGTGTCACCGCAATTATATTCTGCGTCGCCCTCAGCGCTTATGACCTTGTTTTGGCGGAAGATGAGGAAATGGTAAGTCCAACAATCAACCACCACTCAATGTCTACATCCCATTTTAGATATTCATTGTGTACAAGACACAGTAAGACATGTTTACATAATACATCAGTTTTATGAATAGTTCATTTTATGAACAAACTTCCCTCATGGTTATGTCATCATTAACAAAATAGTAACTAAGCTTTGTACAGTATATCAAATTTACTTTGACAAAAAGTTGTTGTATTTCCATATATAGTCATAATGTGCATATCTGGTCATAATGTGATGTCATGACTTTTTTTTTGTGAAAGAAAGCTGAGCGTTTGGCTAACTGGGATGGTTCCTGCCTCTTGCACGCCAGGGCCCGGGTTCAATACCCGGCTTTGTGTCGAGGATTGAATTTGGGTCTTTTATAACAACAGAAAACCGCTCAGCTCCTCGAATAACCCTCTCAAGAGAGTTAGGCGAGTTAAGGACCATGTTTGTATCTGTTAGTATCCGTTTGATGTCTGTTTTAAGGGGAAGGCTAATTATTAGCCACTATTCAAACCGATTATGTGGCTATCTTGCCTCCCCCTGTTGTATACTCCCATAAAAAATTAAAAAAAATTTTAAGGAAAAAAAAAACAAAAATAAAATTTGATAGGCTGGATAGATGAAGCTATGCATATTAGTTTATACATTTTTATTTTTTCAAGGCCCTTAATTTTTCATGATTTTCACAGTCTTGTACACTAGTACCTCACGTAGGCTATACATAGTTTCTATTGTTTTATCATTTAAACGAGTCGGCTAAAGCCTCATTTACACTAGACACGATTACGACAATTACTAGATGCAGATGCGCGCAGTGTTGAAGAATACAAACTAACATGATATGATATGTCGTTGTCGTATCATAATCGTGTCTAGTGTAAATGTGGTTTAACAGTGCGTATCAGTGTTAGACGTTTGAGTTTAGGGGTCAGCTAATACGCAGGGTCGGTTTATGATAAGTACTTGCGATGGTAACTATGGTAATTACTAGTTCACTGGCAAAGTAGCAAAATGTGGCTTATCTAATGAGAAGAGCGAAGATGAGAATCTATACCTCGAGGGAATCGTGTGTTTATCAACAACTTTGAAGCGTTACATAAACATTTTTTTTTACTGACAGAATCAGGTCAAGGTCAACCACATTACTTTATTATGTTTCATTTCATTTATTCGTCCCAAAATATTAAAATTGACAATAAAAACAATATGAGGCAGGACACCCCAAAAGTGAACTTAATCACTGTCGAGTGGGGGGTCTCCTTCACAAGAAACAACCAAATGCTTTAATATACATTTTTTTAAACATATTTTTATTCATTGTTTTACTTTCATTTTTATAACTTTACAAAATTATAAGTTTCATAGTTCCTCTGGTATAAAGAACCCACACACTTTGAACACAAAATTTGGCCAATTTTTAGAGGTGGGCTTACATATATATAGGGAATTTTCTTTTTAATAAATTGGCAACTTTTTGGCACTGTAGGCCTAATTCAAAGCCAATATGTTTTTTTCTGAGAATATTTGAAGAAGTTGTATCTTGGGTTTTTGCTAGCGAAAAGACTGATACATAAAATTGGACAAAAATTATGGGATATGATCCAAGGTTGGCTTAGAGTATACCCAAGATATTCAATTCTTTATTCTACAAAATCATAAAATAATATAATAATATAAATACATTGAAATAATGAGAACTGATGATTGAAATTATGATGACAAAAATTCCATAAATAAAACTGACGATACACTGGGCTTGGGCCACTAGGACTATAGAATCCAAAGCTGAAAAGGCCAGTGGATTTTCAGCCTGTTTGTATTCTGTTGCAACAGCTAACTTCCCTAAATTTAATAGTTTAAAGGCGAAGAGTTTTTATACATTTCTCAGCAAATTCGCGTTGAACCTAAGACAGGACTTTTTTATATCTTATTTAGCAAACCCTACGCCTGCCAAAAATAATGATTCCAAATAAAAATAAAATTTTATTTTTGGTCAGTTAGCACACCCAATGCCATGACAAAGTTTAAATTTCAGAAAAAAATGAGTTATTCTTTATTTTTATAACGCCCGTTGCATTGTCTCAAAAAATAAGATGTATAATTTCTTCATAATTATATAAACTTAAAGTATTTACTACACTCTTACAATCTTTCAGCAATACAATTTAATTTTTTTTTATTCCTCCATCTAGATGTTTTTGGCTAAACCATTTGCTAAATAAAAAAACAATTTTAATTTTATTAATTATTTTTATATGTTCCGCCATCTGACAATCTTTCAAAAAAATAAGTTTGCGAAACAAGGTATAAAAAAGAAGTCTCACCTAACTGTTTCTAGTTTCAAATGCTTATAAAATGCAAATTCAGACCAATTGCATTAAGAAAAATGGTTTGATTACCATGTGGATTTTTGACTACAAGTAGGTACATGCTCTTTGCATGTATTAATGACCAAAGTACAGGGTAGGAAAATACTACAAAAACTTAAGGTATTACAGGATAAAAAAGAGAGAAGAAAAGGAGAAAAAAATCAGAAAAGTAACAATGGCTTTTCTGCTTTTACTCTCTCCTGAAAGTGGTAAATGCAAGAAATTGTTACTATGGATGTGCCTATTGTAATTTTAGCTAGCTAGGAATACATGGGTGTATGCAAGGGGTGGGGGTCGGGAATGTCGTACTACCCCCTCTCTCCCCCCCCCAAAAAAAAATTTCTAAGGTCCATATTTTTTCCAAAGACATTTTTTTCTAGGGCCTTTTCACAATGACATAAATGAAAAAGCATTGATGAGGTACCAGCAATTAGTCCAAAGACCTAGCCAATTGTGTGACGTAATCTATTTCAATTCCAGCAATTGTGAAACTGAGCCTGCCATCCGCTTCAAGCTGGTGGCACTGTAATCGATTTTCCTGTTGCCCACTGAAAAGGTCCAAAAAATTATGATCACGACCCACCCAGAATAAATCCTGGATACACCCCTGGAATACAAATATTTTTAATTTTATCGAGGACACAGCATCTGCGCAAAGCAAATATTCAGAACACTCATCAAGTTAGGATCCATGCAATTAGCAAACGTGTGTCTAAATACATAAATGCCAACCTTAATTGATTTGTTTATATTAATTTCATTCTTAATTGTTAATGTATCTGTTCAACCCTTGAAATCCGGTTTTGTCTGTTTCACTAATCACAAAGTCAGACACAGACATAGACGTTGCAATCAAAGCTTAAATCTGAACATTTGAGTACCTGTCTCCTGTTGGCATTTCGGCCTGACTGCAGACTATGGGGATTCGTTGCTCCTGTCCCTCAAGTATTTTTTTGCATTCCCAGCATAAGATGGTATCCATTTAAACATTTGCTAGAGATGCAGATATGTAAATTACCAAACTTCATTCTTGTACTGTAGTGTAGAGCCAAGACGTTTGTGTTTCTTAAACCGAGAACGTACTTTATTCTTCACTGAATTCCTATAGGTCATAGGTCATCTTTAAAAAGCACATTACCTTAACAAGATCATTATAACTATAGCAATCAACAACAAAGCAATTTTTTTTTTTTTTTGGATTAGTCATCGTTTGTTACTTCCAGGTAAAAAACAATGATGGTATCTAAAATACATTACAATGAACAATAACAATCAGTAGTCTATAAAGTAAGATCACACCCTTTTATTAAAAAATGTGTGAAAATGCTTCCTTGTTGGTATGTTGTTAGCGTCAATATTGCAAGCTCATTGTAGCGAATGTTATAAAAATTATATCTAATTATATATAGCTTTTATCCATTGTTTATTTTCCATGTTTATGCAGTACATTTGCAAGACCATATTATTTCAGATTTTTTTATCAAAAGCAGGCATTTAAAGTTAATTTTCAAAACAGAAACAGATTATAAGCCAACAGAAGCTATATAAATTCAAAGGTTTACAAATAGATCAAGACTACAAAATACAAATTTAGAAATTATAGTTAAAACCTAACATTAACATGTAATTGTTCTATGCATCAATCCAACACAGTAATAATAATATATACAATAAAATTTGCATAAAAAGATTACATAAATGCAAAGTGAAGTAATATTTAAATGTGAACATGATAAAAGATGTATAAGAAATACAAAACATAACATTGAATTAGAAATAGAATTCTTGTAGTCATTTCATAACAAAGTTTTTATGGAATGAAACCGGAGTTGTAATTAAATACATTAAAATCTAAAGTAAAATTGTTTTTGTTTTTTTTTTGTGTGTGTGTCTGTGTGAAGGACATAGAAGCCTTCTGTGTTATGTGCTAGTGTAAAGTTTATTTGACAAATTTGTGTGATGCTCAATATGGGCATGGGAAAGGACAAAAACCACCCTGGACAATAGCCACCTGTACAAGGACTACCCACAGAAGAATATACCATTGTTAAAGTGGGCAGTGGAGACAATGTTGGGTGGGCTTGTTTTTTTTTATTTCTTTTTTTGTTGTTTTTTTATGCTGTGCAATAAAATTATGTTATATTGTGTTATAGATTAAATTACATAGCATTGTCATATTTTGAGGTCACAAAAATGGGTGTGTAAATGACATATTATGATGTCATATTATACCCAAATATGGGCAGATCACATTTATTTGTCACATAAGATATGATAAAGTAGACGGTGTTTTTTGATTCAAGGTACTGTAATTAAACACAACACAAATTAAAGTTTTAGATTGACATTATTAATACACCAAGTCTCTAGTGGCTGATAAAATCTAAAAATTAATTAGTTTATCTCAATGATTAGTTAAAGCCTAGTTTCCTAAAAATTGCTACACTTTCGCTACAGTGTTTTCAGTGCAGTCGTTGTACCGCGTAGCAATCCCCAATACAATTTGAACAACCAATCAGCATCGCCAAAAGCTGTTAGTGATATTATAGAAACCAAGCTTATACTGTATATAATAATTTGTGTAATGTTGATGTATACTATAGTATAATTTTATATCGATTTCAT